ATGACATGGACAATGCGTAATGGGCAAAGAGAATAGCTGATTATTTTGGCTTTGCTGATTTTCCTCTTCCCTACTTTTCCAGCTGGTGGGAAGAAGAAGAAAAAATCCCTGTCAGATCACATCAGAAATGGGGCAGGTCTAACTGCAAGGCTGTGTCCATCCATTTCTAGGCTCCTTGCGCCCCTTATCCTCTGTCCCATTCCTTCTAACTGGGACAGAGGATAACAAAAAACAAAAAAAAGAGATCGAAGAGAAAGGAATCACGTTCAGTATTTAGAACTTCTCTCCCCATATTTTCCCTTATACAGGCACCAAGAGCTGACTTCAAATTCTTCAATGTCCCCTCCCTTCAGGAGGCAACAGAGATCAGGACTGGTCCTGTCATTACATTCTTACTATTTCAATCTTGCAATAAAACTGGTACGAATTAAAGTAGTTATGCTGAACAAATCCTGTGTTGCAGTGTTATTTTGATAGACTTAGCTTTATTGCCTGGCTATTGCTTTCATCATGAAGGATGTAAAGTGGTAACATCCATGTTGTGCTGTGCTATTGGGTAGATGCCTGCTTGTGGCAGGAAATTTTATGTCAGCTACAGCAGAACTGACAGAGAAAAGCAAAAGGAATCTCTATTTTTAAAAAAAGGTTTTTTTTTGTCTTTCTCAGATGATGATGATGATGATGATGATGATGATGATGATGAATAGTTTATCCTGGGGTCTGCAGTCTGTGCAGATCTGGATGGGGGGAACCAGGCTTCAGCTGAACTCTGGCAACACTGAATAGCTTTGGGTTTTGGGACCTATTGGTTGTAGAACTATGCCATCTTTGATGCTGGATGGGGTGATATTACCTCAAACAGATCTGGTGTGCAATGTGGAGGTCCTCTTGCATTCACAACTCCTGCTCAACAAATAGGTAGCAGTTGTGTCTAGGAGGATCTTTGCACAGCTTTGTCTTAGGTGCCAGTTCAACTGGATTGGGAGCATCTGCTCACAGTCACTTATGTTCTAGTCGCCTCTGCATTGGACTATTACAATGTGCTTTACATGGGGCTGCCCTTGAAGAGTCTCCAGAAACTTCAATTGGTGCAGAATGGAAGACCACTGGAAGATCTCAGAGCTATACATTAGACCAAGGAGAGAGAGAAAAAAACATCCTGGATGTAGGCAGTGGCAAACTATATCTATAGTGTCTGTCTGTCTATCCATCCATCCATCCATCCATCCATCTCCATGTGAACATGTGGAGATATTTAGATAGCTACTAGATGCTGAGCACAACTTGAGTGAGTCTTTATCTCTAATTTTTGTTATCAAGGACTTTGTCAGTTAAATTTTCTGATTTTGAACTATTACATAGATAACTGACATTTATCCTATGGATTATTAATTTTCTTGCAAATCCTGCTTTACTATTACTTGCATAATATTCAGTTTTTAGAACCTGATCAACAAGGTTAGATATCTATTTTAGATTTTTTTTTTCAAGTTACAGAAGCCTGCAGCAATAGGATACCATAAAGTTAAGTAATATGGGACTGGTATATTTCCTTCTTGTTTTTCTGTTTTAGGCTTTTTTCCTCTAGGCAATTTTGTTTAAACAGTGTAAGTGGAATAAAATCTGTGCCTCTAATAATTCTTCAGTTATCAAAGGTAGTACTGAATATTAGAGTTCTGATATAACGGTAAGCCAGTGTATTTTGTAAAAGGTGTTTATGTCTTAGCAATGGTTAGTCCTGCTAATTGTAGTTTATGTAACAACAACAAGTTGTGAGAATCTAGTCTGAAAACAAAAATATTCATCTAATTCAAATTATTTTATTTACTCTCAGAGGTCAGCAATAGAAAAAACCAAATAAAATCAATCAGTTAAAAGAAAAGGAAAGAGAATAGATTTTTGTGTAATGTTTGATGTCAAGTGTTGATACAACAATAAATTTGGCTAGCGTGTAGGTTGTTTTAGTATGAATCTGAAAGTTAAAAGTGGGTATAAAAATTGTCTGTTCTCCCAGGGTCCCTTAGTAAAAAAGGGTTTATGATGTCTGTCTGAAGACTGTTATAAAAGTTACATTAAAGAAGAATATGTTGAATTATCTCAACTTACCTGTAGTCACAAGAGCAAGTGTGTTGAAATAGGGGAATGAATGCACATCTAAACTAGGTGAGAGAAAGAGTGATGTATGGTTTGCTTTAAATATGTAATTTTAAATTATCCTCATGGAAATCTTTTCCAGTGGAGGGCAAATCCATGACATCCACAGCCCTACATCTGACACAGAGAAATGGCTGGGGGTGCAGGAAAAATTTAGGAGATTGCTACTCTGTGGAGTCTGTGGTGCTTTCTGAACTTGGTTGTTTTCTTGCACACACTTCATTACCAAACTAGATAACATCTTCAGTGCCAGAAGGGATTGGGGTTTGCTCTCTATATACAGTAACTTGTGCTACCAGTATTGGTGGACATGCTATTTTCTCCTTGGTAATTTTTTTTTAATTAAGATGTTGTTTGTCTGGTCTTCTCCTGATATTAATCCTTGCTTATCTGGTAGTTGATTGCTGGAAAGGAGGTGTTCTGATCTTTTTGTTTCCCTTTTAGCTTTTTTATTGCTTCTTTTTAACTTTTTTATTGTTTCTTCTATTTGTTTTGTTTTTATTGTTTTTTTACTGTTTCTAGTGTGTAAATGTTTTTATCTGTATGTGCCTGTTGATAGCCAATTTGTCTGAGTGCCAGACTTCCAGGAATTTCCTAGCATTTTTGGATTTATTTATCTAAGTTCTTAACTGCCCATCTCCCTTGTAGTCTAGTTGCTCACAGTTTTCTAGATAAAACTACTGTTAAGTCTGCCCACGTATCGTGAAAATACAGATTGCTACTCTTTCCATTACTTATCCCCTCACTCCTTACACATGCACACCCAAGTCAATTCTGCATAAAGGCAGGTCTGGACTTGGCTCCTCTAGTTTAACATAGCTTGTCATGGGTGCTTTCAGATTCAGACTCGGGCTTTCTAAATTGCATTCAAAGTTCTGTAATTGATTTATGTAGCATATGATATGGGGATTCTAATGGTTTTTTTCCTGCTCTGGGATTTGTTTTCCAGTGAATTGTAAAATCTTTAAATGTTGTTCTTAAAAAAATAAGATTAATAAATAGCCTGTCAAGAGATCGTCTTTTTAATGCCATAAGTTCAGATGGAAATTCGACTGGATTGTAATCAGTGAAAATGCTATAACCAAGGCAAAGGGGAGATAACAGAAATCAGACTCTGGGACAGAAATGTATAGGTAGGTCCTCTGCTTACAACCACAATTGAGCCAAAATTTCTGTTGCTAAGCGGGACATTTGTTAAGTGAGTTTTGCCCCATTTTACAAGCTTTCTTGCCACAGTTGTTAAGTGAATCACTGCAATTTTTAAGTTAGCAACATAGTTGTTAAGTGAATCTGGTTTCTCCATTGACTTTGCGTGTCATAAGGTCACAAAAGGTGGTCACATGATCCCGGAACACTGAACCGTCATAAATATGAACCAGTTGCCAGACATCTGAATTTTGATTATGTGAACATGGAGATGCTGCAACAGATGTAAATGTGAAAAACAGTCATAAGTCACATTTTTCAGTGCCGTTGTAACTTTGAACGGCCACTAAATGAACTGTTGTCCAAAGAATGTTCTGGTCCAGTTTCAAGCTGGGTTGCATAAGAATGATAATGGACACACAGTTGGAAAGGAGACAGGTAGGTTTATTTGAAAGCATAGAAACAGAACTTGAAGGTAGCTATAAAATGGGGTACAAAAGATCAGGTACTTTAATAGGGAAACTGGTATTTGTGAGGGGGGTGTAGGGCATGAGTATATATGTGCCTCCGGTGATGTTTAACTTGGTGCACATGCAACTCTGGTGGGAAAAATATTTTAATTAACTTTTGAAGGAAATGTATGTAAAGGATTTTCCCTGTTTGTTATTAATTGTGATGGTTAATTAGTTTAGCCTGGTCGTTAGCTACTACAGGAGTAATGGATTGGTTATTTTTGCAACATGGTTTTCAGGTTTGGGTTACTGGTGGGTCTTGTTAATGATTAAAAGGAGGTAGGTTCCAAAGAATAAATTTAATTTTGAATGAAAAATTCTTTTTAACGATTATTACAATTCTTCCCACATGAGAAAGTGTCTCAAACATGACCCTCCCTAGTTTTCATTACAAAAAGGGAGGGAGGGGGGAAGTATATTCACATACTTGCAAGATTCTTATAATACAAGTTGTATTAGCTTGTACTGTATGTCTTTGGTTTCCAAGTTTGGTCTAAGTCCAAGTTTGGGTTGACAGTTGCTTGCTGTCATTATTACCTGTGAGGAAGAACAAAAGGGCCACCTTCCCTGAATAACAGAATAACAGAGTTGGGGGGGACCTTGGAGATCTTCTAATCCAAACCCTATTCAGGCAGGAAACCCTATAGTATAACATTTCAGACAAATGGTTGTCCAGTCTCTTCTTAAAAACCTCCAGTGTTGGAGCATTCACAACTTCTGGAGACAGGTTGTTCCACTGATTAATTGTTCTCACTGTTAGGCAATTTCTCCTTAGTTCTAGTTGGTTCTGAGACGATGATAACGTCTAGAATTCCTCAGACAGCCTACAGCTGCCCATTATTAAGCTTCATAAAAGCTTAAGAACTGGTGCTAGAGTTACTTTGTTTTCCTTTTCCCATTGTAACCCTGCTTTTTTTTCTACGTTACATATTTTTCAGTGTGTAAGCAGCCTTTTGGGTAGGAAATAGGGGAGAAACACTAAATAATTAAATAATTTGTGCAATTAAGAGGAACCCGATTCTTGGGCAATTTTGCTTGACTTTTTGCATTTCCTGGAAAGCTGATCTGCACAGCTCAAACAGGGCCACATAACCTGTTATTATCATGTGCTGCTGGGCTGGTTTTATCAGGTTGGGTTTTGGGTTTTTTTTGACCTTGGACACTTCCTACAATGTAAATTTTGGTGGAATGACAGATAAATACATGTTCAGAATGATCAGAGGAGGAAATTCATGGTGGATTCCAGAAAAAGATAATCTCTGCGAAAGAAACAAGTTTACAGTTTCCCTGTACAGTACGATAGCGCACAACTGCAACTCCACCCCTTCCTAATTCTAGCCTACCCTTAACCGAGCCTGGTTGGCGCCCTTGTTATGACTGGTCTGGTACCACATATCTGCTCAAGTGAACCTTAATTCTTTTTGATGGATAAGAACTTAACTATTTTAGGGGTTGTTGTAGTGGAATCTGCTGCAGAGTTGCTGGAGGGAGGAGAGTCTTCCAGGAGGAGCTAAGAGGCAAATTAGTCTGGAATCCGTGGTATGCAGGAAGACCTCCAGAATAGATCCTCCCTAACTGTTCACTGGGTATATCTGACAGTTATGGAGGTTGTGCTTTAGTCTGGCAAGATTCTTTCTATGGGTGAACAACAGTGAAGGGACTACTCTGAATAAATCGTGTTGTACTTGGTTCCTTACATCTGTCATTAAACGGCCTCTTCCTGCATACCAAGGATACCAGGTTTATTCCAGCGTTTCTGCACCATATTTCTCTGCAGTTGTGATGGTTCAGAAACATCATCTCAACTTTAGCTTTTAGAAATCACCAGTACTTTGCTTGACAATCCTGACCACTGCAAAGAAACATCTTTGGATCATTCAAAACAGGTGATTTCAGACATCGAGCAAGAGAGATGTCAGATAACATGTAAGTGCAATTCTCTGCTTATGATGACTGGAAGAACCCAGGTGTTTCTGGAGTGGCTAAAATGTAAAAGATCCTGAGTGTTATACAAGAGGGTGAACTAAACAAGCTTAATCAAAGAATGTATTTTGAAAGCTATCAACCCTAATGAATAAATGTATTCTCAAAAAGGAGGAATAGTGCAAAAGAAGCAATTTCTCGATGTCTAATATTGTAACAGTTGGGAAGAATGGATGGCAATTCTTTGCGGTATTAGGAAATGAGTGGTTATATAAACATTGTGCTTAAAATCCCAATTCTTATACGTGTGCTAATGAAGGCTATGTGAATGGCTTCACATATCACCCTAAGCCTTGATGGGATTAGTTTGATTTTGTTTTGCTTTTGTTTATAACGTTAACTAGGTTACATAGTGGATTCGTCAGGAAATTATAGTTAAACAAACAGTGGTTTAGCATAACATGAAAATCAGATATCTGTAGTTATGTAATTGTACACTATTCTTAATAGTTTGCTATGAATATTTAAAAAAAACAATGAGTTGGATATAGTACATATTAAATATTTTTTTAAATTATTTAAATACAAATAAATATTATACAATATTAATTGTAATGCATTTTGTTCTTACATGTTTATACTAAATAGCAATAACTATAGCAATAGCACTTAGACTTATATACAGCTCATAGTGCTTTACAACCCTCTCTAAATGATTTACAGCATCAGCTTGTTGCCCCCTTCAATCTGGGTCCTCATTTTACTGACCTCGGAAGGATGCAACGCTGAGTCAACCTTGAGCCAGTCAGGATCGAACTTCTGGCTATGGGCAGTGTTAGCCTGCAATACTTCATTCTAACCACTGCACCACTATGCATAATCCTATACATATCATTGAACAGTTTTATTATATTGATAATTATGATAGATTTTGTAATATTAGGATGATTGATAAATCTATACATTAAAATAAATTAATTAAATATATAAAATATAGTTTTAGAAATCTTTAAACCTGGGATCCGGGTTTCCCTAACCCTCTTCACCCAAAGAGCTTTTCACTTTACTTGCTCTACTGTTTAATATATTTTGCATCTTGCTGTCTTAAGTAAGTTTAGAACGGGTTCCTTCCTGAATCTGAATAACAAAATGATGATAGGGTGTGACTGTTTAAACCTTCTCCTGTCCTAGCAGGCTTTCTGGTAGACCACTGTATAAAGGAGAATGTGGAAATAAAATCGAACCAGAGACAGACCTGACTCGCTGGCGACTGAGCACAGTGGAAGGGCGACAGAAGTGGTATTATGTGCCCGAAAATGAGGAATGTGCCAGAGAACAGAATGCACTTGAGGCATATACATTAGGGCTAAACACTGTGAGTAGTTGATGATCATTGCAAGTACAGAAATAATGTCCACAGTGGCAGAGAAAAGCACGAATGCTACCAATGCGGGGTGTCTCTGCTGCAATTTAGCAAGTACTGATAGACTTCCCCCCCCCTTGTGGTTTCCATTCTTTCTTATGGTGAGAAAGGGGTCTTGTGTATCTACCCCTCCAATATCTGTACATTCTTGTATATGAACTAGAATTATTACTGGTGCAACACTCCTGATAACCCTAGTCATTTCTGTGACTCATGAGCAATGCGTGCCTGGAATCATTTTGATGGGTATAAAATATGTCATGCAGACAATTCATCCAAATAAACTGCTGACAGAAGGTTTCTCAACTAGCAACTGAATTTCTAAATAATTGTGTGATTCATTAGATTCACAAGTCAGATCCATAAACCATAAATTCATATTATCTGTCTGTCTGTCTGTCTGTCTAATGTTTATAGATATAGATGAGGTTAAAAGAGTGTTTGCATCTGAAGTGACTTGTGCTTTTAAAAAAGCTAGATCATGAAGATTCCTTTCAACTTGAGGCTGTATTGGGTTGCTGACACTGTAAATATTTTCCATCTAGACACTGTAGAAATTTTCCCTAAAGAATTTTAAACCGAAAAATGGGTAAAAAACTTTTCTCCAATGTTTTAGAATGGGAATGTAGTCAGAATGGAAAGGGTAAATTTCTCTTCCTCATTACCAAGTTTCCTGACCTCGTTGCCTTCTCTGTTAACTTAGATAAAATGTCCTCAAAAGAAATATAGTGAATATATTGAAAAATGTGACCCTACAGGAATATATTTATCTTATCTCCATTATTTCATTTTACAGAGTAAATTTTTCCCAGAGTTGCCCAAAGCCAGCACAGCCCAGGAAGCAGTGCTGAAAGCAATTAAGTTTCTTTCAGGTGTACAAGCTGAAGATGGCCATTGGCCTGCAGAATGCTCTGGAGTACTCACCCTTACTTCAGGTATAGTGGTGTCACTAGTAAATTCACTCTGTGTAAATCAACCAGTTAAAATTATGTCTGTGCTGTGAATTAAGCTCTCTTCTCACCTGTGAAATAGGCACAAAGAACTGGGAAAATGGGAAAAATCTCCTCAGCTTTGTATGGCCAAGTTAGCCACGGCTCCTGGTGTTGACCCTCTTTCCCAATTTGGTACTCTCCAGAGTATTCCTCCCCATAATTCCCACCCAGCATAACATTATTTTCTGTCAATGCACAGAGTTACAGTCCCCACCTGGAGATTACCTGTTGAGAAAGGCTGCCGTAAGGTTTTCAGCCTTTCTCATTTTGCTCATTGTGGAGATTCCAAAGGTTGAACTGGGATCTTGAATTTGGATTCTTTCATATATGAATGGAAGAGGGAAAGGATATTCCAGAATAATAGGTTGTTGATAGCTTCTGAGAAGCAGAAAATATTCTTCCTTCCAATCTCTGGCAGGTTGCCAGAAATTTAAGGAAGAATTGGATAGGCAGTCTATTTTTTTTCTTCCTGAAATAATGGTTATTTATCTGTAGACTTTTGTGTATTTATTTAAAAGTCATAGATTCCAGGAATATCAGAGAAATTACTACTGAGAAAGCGCAGAGATTCTTTGCTTGATCTTGATAAATACAATCTTGTATATTGATCTCTTTTTTTAATGGTCTTTTAAGAAGGGAAATAAACATACAAATTTACCCTTAGATTATCAAACAAGGTGACTTTTGGTGCGCAAAAAAAAATCCAAACTCAGATGTTCCTCAATAGTCTTTCTCATCAAACAGGTCTTTTGATTGCATGCTATGTTGCTAAGATTTCCCTGCCAGAAGAGGTAAAGAAAGAAATACGACGATATATACGTTCAAGACAACTTCCAGATGGCGGCTGGGGTCTGTGAGTGAAGTGAAAGATTGGTGTTTTTTAATTTTTTTTAAGATAATTTCTGATAAATTCCAAATAATGGCAGAAGGTTAGGTGACAACTTTCTATACCCTTTTCTGCTCCCTTGCTTATACTTACAGCAGCACCTACAATACAATGCAAAGTACTACTTTCTTACATCAGCACCTACAATTTCCCATGTTAGTTCTTGAATTATTTCATTTTGTTTTGTTTTAAAATCCAGATCAAGATAATGGTAGATTAACCTAAATATAACATTAGCTGTGGAATAATAGCTCACAAATTTCCATACCCCTTTCTGCTTACTTACTGACATACTTACCTCAGCACCTACAATTTTCCATTTTAGTTCTTTGTTTTTCTTATACTTATAGGTTGCTTCAGTGGTGACCTACTCTAAAAGGCTTTAAGGTTTTAAAACTTTTCCAAATAGACCAGCATTTTTCAAACTTGCATGCTGTATTATTTTTTTTAAAAAATTAAATATTTATTAGCAACTTAGATGTTCTGAGAAAGACCTTGTGGTTTTCACACTAGAGGTTTACGCGGTAAAACTTTATTTTACACTGTCAAATAAAACAGCAGTTAAAGTTTTAAAAGCATCTTCAATTCTAAAGTTTTATTTCCAATTTCATCCACATTCTAGAGAGAGTATTGTAGATCATTAATCAAATAATACTAGCAGGTACTCTCAGAATGATAGAAAATGACCAAAGAAGATAATTTGTAAATTGGCCTGTGGATAGGAGACTTAGCTATCCAGGACATTTGCCTTTTTTAATATTTTTTTTTTCTAAATCTCTATGTGGTAGCCATCTCAGGGAGCAACAACCAACCATCTTTGGCACAGCCCTCAACTATATAGCTATGCGAATCCTTGGATATGGACCTGATCATCCAGATATAGTGAGAGCTCGAATTTGTCTCCATAAAAAAGGTGAGAATCAAGTCAGAGTTATCCAGAAATATTCCTCCCCATATGTTGTCAAAGTCTTCCCATCTATGTGACTTTTATGCCTTTGAACATGTAAGCATTTTTACTTTTTATCATAATGGCAGTTTTAAACATGATTGCTGTTCCTATATTCTGACTGAAGCCTGAGATGTTTGCTTCCCTTTTATCTCTATTAAGGTTAGGAGTTGTTTTTTTTTTTTTTTTTTTGGCAATGTGTTAGTCACTGAGTAACTGAGTTTGCTTCAGGCCAACCAAGTCATGGAGTTGAGCAACTTTTCTAAAGGTAATTTTCTTGGGTGTAGAGAGATGGCTAGCTAAATGCTAAATCTGCTGGTCGTTATATGCTTATTAATCCTTCTCTTCCCTCTAGCATAAAGAGTTACTTTCTTTAAGTCTCTAAAAGAGGGTGCATTGTCTTTAAACATACAAAACTAATAATCAAAATCTAAATCAAGGTTTATTATTCATAGGATAGTAACCAGCTGCACAATTATCAAAGCAAATCAAGGAATATACCGTCATATAGATCTGTAGGTTTGTGAAGATTTGTGGTTCTTGTGTTGCTTCTACTTAGAGTGGTTGCTGCTTCCCTCTCACCCCCACTGACAACTCTCTTTCCAGGTGGTGCTCTTGGAGCCCCACATTTGGGGAAAGTCTGGCTGGCTGTTATGAACGTGTACAGCTGGGAGGGAATGAATGCACCGTTTCCTGAGTTGTGGTAGGCACTCTAAAGTTGTGTTGTATTTTCTTTTGCTTTCAAGGAGCCATTGAATAAAATTAACCAATGCAATATTATTATATTTGAATAAAATTAACCAATGCAATCTAATCTGTAAAACCCTGAAGTTTTCTACACAGCTGCAATCTTTTCCAAATTGCAGATGCAGATATCTGAATTATATTTGCAGCTATATTGGCTTCTAACTCAGTTTTGATTCTCCTGGGATATGTTTACAAGTTTTTCAATTTATAAATGTTAACTTTTTTGCATGCCTCTTTGAGGGAGACGGGCAGATCAGAAATATGAAATATGAAATATAAATGTAAATAAATAAATAAATAAATAAAATTCAGGAGTCAAACTGCAGTAGACTAGAAATTTAGAAGAACTTAGCATGGGTGGGGCATATAGTGTCAACAAATAGTCCTCTAATGCTAGCCAATAAGACTGAGAAGTCATAAGTAAAATGCCCAATTTTGAACTATTTTGACAAAAGATTACTATAAACTAACAAATGAGTAATTCAGGGAGTTATCCAGAATTGAAGTCGAATGAATTAATAAAAGAGTCAACTCACCCATTGGATGGAAATGGGACTTGATTTTAATAACATGAATATTTAGTCATCTTTAAATTCAAATTGTATTGCATTGTACATATGAATATTTCACAGTATCTCCCATTTGTACAGTTGGTATTCTATGATGGTCTTGCTGAAAGAGACTGAAACTTATTAGGCTACTTTTGTTATCTGTCATCTCAGCGGCTGCAATACCTAGCCAACTTTAGTTTCTTTCAGAAGCTAAACAAGATTTCACTTGGATAGTTTAAGGCATACATGCTAAAAAAAATAGAACAGAACAGAACAGAATAAGATAACAGAGTTGGAAAGGACCTTGAAGGTCTTCTAGTCCAACCCCCTGCCCAGGCAGGAAACCCTGGCTGGCTCAGGAATTCTGGGAGTTGAAGTCCACGAGTCATAAAAGACCCAAGGTTGCCTACCCCTGCCCTATACCATTTCAGACAAATATTGTCTAAGAATTCTATACTTCTGCCGAGAACACTGTATGAATGGGGGAATCAGGGTCTGAATTCAACACAATTCTAAACCTACTGATTCCATCTTCAGCAAAGTTGAAGGCCTGCAAAGGCCTCAATATCCATAGATGAATGAAGCCCAACCTTCACATTAGTCTTAGAGACTGCTCTCGTTTAATGTTTTTCAAAATTGTTGGAACACCTTTATGGTGAATTACAAGGAGAAATCAAATGTTTTGAGATATGCAAACCAGGCAATAGTTTTACCTACTATGTTTAAGATTTCTGCTTATCTCTTTATGATCCTCTTGCTTCCCTCATTCTGAGGCAGGCTGTTACCTACCTGGGTGCCAGGCCATCCCTCCACTTATTGGTGCCATGCCCGTCATATCTTGCTTGCAACGACCTACTGCCAACTCAACCGCCTGAGTGCAGAAGAAGATGAACTGATCCGGAGTCTCAGGCAGGTAAAAGAACAATATTCACAGATTCTCTCACTTACTCCGTATCCAAACAGGATATATAACAGTGGTGGCGAACCTATGGCACGGGTGCCAGAAGTGGCACTCAGAGCCCTCTTTGTGGGCACGCGCGCTGTCGCCCCAGTCCTAGGCCTTCAACTGGGTTTTATAAAACCTTTTTGCTTTAGGCTTCCTCCACCGTGTGCAAAAAAAAAAAAAGGTTCAATCAGTCAATTTCAACTTCTTGCGGGGAAAAAAAGATCTTGCAAAGTTGGAATTGATTGATTGAACTTTTTAGTCCCACCCAGTCTGCCGTTACCACCGCGGCCATGCCCACCCAGTGGGCCACGCCCACCCAATGGGCCACACTCAGCCAATGGGCCACACCCACCCGGCACTCGACGATGCATAAGTGGGTTTTGGGTTGCAGTTTGGGCACTCAGTCTCTAAAAGGTTCGCCATCACTGATATATAACATTACTTAAGATACAGTATAATCGGTGCCCTAATGAGAGTATACTGACTTCTGCTTTAAGCAAATGCAAGAAGATTTTTATATGGACTCTCTTTCATGATATGTGGAAGACTCATAAGGCATGAAAAAGCAAATTGGAAATATTATTCCACAGTGTGCTAGCATTTCCAATGAATAGGTCTTTTGATGTGAGAAGATTTTTCAAATGTTGCTTCTTTGCGTGCCTACTTGATTTTGGCGAAGAAACTATATTGTGTGGTCCTAGGAAACTCTCGGTTTCTTCAACAAATGAAACATATAATTTGAATTGCATCTTGATTCCTTTTCCTCTTTTATACTTCCAGAAAAGCAAATATTTCCCATACCTCATAATTTGAGAGAGCTTTCTTAAACTCCAGAGCTAGCTAGATATAATTAACTTAGGTAGATGTTGCTTTATGGATTATTTCTGTTTGTTTGTTTCCCCCACATTTGCTAGTCCAAGAAAGCTGTTCCCAAGGTAAATTCACAGCCAATGCGTCCTTGTCAATTTCTTACTGAATTCCTATCAAAAAAAATCCCTTGAACTAAAAATAACCCTTCAACCAGCAGGGGGAGCTAAGGGATGTTGTCTCAATCCATCCCAATAAAAGCAGCACTTACTTTCTGGTTATACAACGGACAAAAAGTTTTATTTTGTTATTTGAATACAATCGCAATTAAAGAATTGTTCGACTTCATTGCTTGCAATGAAGCAATAATCATTCAGGTCTACAAACAGGTTATAGGGATATGAAAATAGCTTTATGCAACAGAATTGAATTGAATTCAGTGGGCTGGAATGTCAGTTTCTGGAAGCTTGCAAATTAAATGCATATTCTAATTTGTGTAAACCTATAAAGGACACTAATGTCCACAACTTTAGACTTCTCTTTGTCTCTTGCACATTCCAATAAATCAATCTGTGCTGCAGTGAGGACGTGCTGACCTCTGGTTTTAAGCAAGCTCAAGATCACCTTGCACTGGGAAGCAAGAGGAGGAAGGGAATTATCGTCTTCCACTCAAGCCCTATGATCTTCCCTGTTGTAGCTGTTGTCCACCTTGTCCCACCAAAAGCTGGACTAAATAGACTTATGCCCTGATCAGGCCTTGGCTCTTAGAGTCTTAAACCACAAAGTATCAACATCTCTCCATTGTTTGTGTGCTTTAGTATTTAACATATGTTTCTGCAGATGGACATTTTCTAAATTTCTCTGTGAATACTTAGATTTGCCCAAATCTAAACTCAATTAAAAAACAACAACCTCCCAGTGATTAATGCTACTGTTGTGGGGATACCCAGATTATTTTATAATCATCTTGGATAAGTAATGCAAAACAATTGTGATTCAGTAAAGATCCCCAACTAAGGCACACGACTTAACACTGAAAATAACATCTTTTGAAATACGATACCTTTAAAAAAATTTTGAAAGCATGTCTATGACATTAGATGAGATTTCTGTGAGCTAAGGACAAAAAACGAATTAATTCATCTCTTTTTTCAATTTTACGGCATTTTAAAACTGGAGCTTTCACAAATCATAACCCACTTCATGCAGGAAAACATAATCTGGTTAATCTCATCATTTCCAGTTTGTCGTTGCTCTGTTATTTCCTTTTGTGGTGAAAATGCTTGATTCTTTCCTCCACGGACTGTCATGTGAAAGAAAGAACAGATCATTAATACAAATGTTACCCTAGGGCAGGGGCAGGCAACCTTGGCTCTTTTATGACTCGTGGACTTCAACTCCCAGAATTCCTGAGCCAGCCATGCTGGCTCAGGAATTCTGGGAGTTGAAGTCCACGAGTCATAAAAGAGCCAAGGTTGCCTACTCCTGCCCTAGGCCTTAGCAAAAGCTTGCAATAGTGGCGAATATCTGTAGCTCGGTTATAGGATGAGGGTGGAAGTTCGTTCTCCGAGCTTGTGGGTTGATTTCCCAACGTTTCCTTAGCAGGCTAGGTAACATCTTCAGTGGCGTTTAGGGGGTGTCTCTGTCCATGATCTTCTGCTTATAAGGGCTTCAGGTGTGAGTGTTTCAAGTGAGGGTCCTGTGATGGGTCAGGTGTGAGTGACCCTGACCTGAAATAACCTCCCCATCACAAGGCCCATCGCAAACCTCTTTCTAATGATTCACACCTGACCCATCACAAGACCCTCACTCGACACACCCACACCTGAAACACTGATAAACACAGGAGCACTGACACACAGACATCCCCTAAACGCCGCTGAAGATGTTACCTAGCCTAGTACCGAAACGTTCGGAAACCAACCCACAAGTTCGGAGAATGAACCTTCGCCCTCTTAGCGAAAGCTATTGTAGTTTTGATATTGTAGTTCTAATAGTTGGGTCCTCAGTGGATGTGATATGTGGAAACAAACACATCCAAATGGCTATGCATTCAAATGTCATGATTTTTTTAGGGATAGGACAGGACAGGACAAAATAGAATACTTTATTTGACCAAGTGTGATTAGACACACAAGGAATTTGTCTCTGGTGCTTAAGTTCTCAGTGTGCATGTAGAGCAGGCGTGTCAAACTCGTGACGTATTGGGATTTTTCCCCCGTTGCTGGCAATGGGTTGGGCGTGGTTTCGGCATGACGAATCTGGCCTGCGGGCCGGCAGTTTGACATGCCTGATGTAGAACAACAAAGTAATAATTACAGGATACATTAAAACATTAACATTAATAATTACAGGGCTGGAGAATCAGAATTGGTAGGGGAAAGCCCGAGGTTGTTTCAATCACACTTAAGCATTTTTAAAGGGTTATCATTGATTGTGTGTGTGTTTGTGTGTGCATGTGTGTATGTGTGTGTGTGTGTATGTAAAACACAATCGCACACATGTTAAAGATATTTTAGCAAGTGGACCAGTCTCGTGTCCTATTTACTAAAGAACTTATGTCTTTTTATTCTTTTACTTTAGGAACTTTACGTGGAGGATTATTCAAGCATTGATTGGCCAGCCCAGAAGAAATATATTTGTGAGACTGATTTACAGGCGCCACATTCATTGGTCCTGGATGTTCTTTTTGGTAAGTGGCACAACTTCTAAGGGCTTGTGTTTCTAGTTGAAACGTCCTTGATTCATTAGAAACAGACCAGCTGCAGTAGGATTCTTAGTGCTCTTTTTAAATGCCAATTGCCCCAGATGGTGAGTTGACAAAACTTGATGGCACACAATCAGTCAGTCAATCAAACCTTGCCTGAACCGATACCATGAACTCAGAATTGTAAACCTAATGGCTCTGCTTCTAAAATGTCTCTTTGCTCCTTTTTGCAGCCCTCTTCAATTTGTACGACAGATACCACCTCACCAGTCTCAGAAAGAAAGCCACAGCTGAGATCTATGAGCTAATCAAGGCAGATGATATATTCTCAAACTTTACTAATTCTAGCCCGGTAGGTCTTTTGAAAATACCACAGAGAAATGACTGTTTCTGGAATAAAATTCCTTTGGATGGAGTCAGTGGTCTCCACATGTTAGCCCTTGGCTTAGTTTTATTTCAAACAGAGAGCTTTGCTTGGAACTTACTTGTTTTGTTGTCTGAAGGAACATCTGGGTTTGGCTGATGTCCTAAAGGTTGTTCTGGGACTGAGGGGGTTGCAATATGCCTGATGGAACTTTTTCATTCTGTAGATTTGTAAACCTTTCCATGTATTGATCTCATGGCATGTGGATGGTCCCAATTCGGCAGCCTTTCAAGAGCACGTCTCCAGAATCTACGATTACCTTTGGTAATATTGCTCATGCCAAATCCTTTCAAAACCCTTTCTCACCACATGTGAAATATAGTAGAGGTGTTTGTGGATCATAAGGACAATGGAAGATCTGATGACAATGAAAGGACAGCGTCCTCTCCTATCTAATCTACCCTCCCCCTAATTTAATGCCCTCTAGCTGCAACATTTGAGAACCCCATTTACCATTATCAACAGCCTTGGTTGATGGGAAATCTAGGATTTGTAATCTATCACAGAGACATAAGATTAGGGAAAGCTGCCCAGATTTTAGGTTCTGCAGAGGTCTGCTTTCCCTTTTCCTGAGAGACCATAATTGGCAATGTCTACTTCTTAATTCCAGGGAATTTTCATTCAGGAAAAGAGACTTTAGAAAGATATTATCTTCTGCTTCCTATTTTGCATGCCATCATACTCTCAGACTATGCTCTGAAATTAAGAGTAGCACCTTACTCTTAATTGCACATGTTGTAATCTGTCTTTTTGTATATCTCTTTGCAGGCTTGGAGATGAGGGTATAATGATGAAGGTAAGATTGTGGAAAGGAGGTTGGTTATTGTTAAAGCCTATGCCCTTTTATTGCTTTGCAGGCTGGAGTCAATGTTTTTTTGACAACAAAACAAAAAGAGAGAGATTGTTTGATGATCCTCCATATACCTCTTTTACCATGATCATGTTAATAAGTGATCTAAACCATACTATCATTTGTATGTGGTCTAGGATGTTCTATAAGCCCAGCCATAATGGTTTATTTGTATGGCATAGTTAAAACAAGGCAATTATTTTAGGGTATTGTTAAGAACTCAACCAATATATAGCCTGATCCCCAATTTTGGATCAGAAGGTAAATTTGTTTCAGGTGGAAGTATAAATAACCTTGAGGCCTCTGAAGGACTAACTCTTTATTATGGCTTCTGTGAACACTAGACTACTCCATTAAACGTGTAAAATGTTATCATCAGCTTTAGTTAGATCTTGTGAATAGGGAGAGGGAGAGGGGAAAAAAGCCTAAGTCTATGTAAAGCAAGAAAAGTGACCATTTACAATAGCAGTTATTATTGATAATGGAAGGAAGAAACAGTTTGAGGCCTTGCAGTGGATACCTGGAGCAGCAGAACAGGGGAAAGAGAGAGGTCCAAATATGGGAGTACAGGTAATCCTCGATGTAACAACCATTCATTTAGCAACCATTGAGCCCTGAAAAAATGACTTATGACTGTTTTTCACACTGACAGCCATTGCAGCATCCCGGTGGTTATGTGATCAAGAGAGTGGCTAGTGGTGTATTTGTTTTTTCCTTATGCCTTTTCTTTTGTCATTTGCATTTATCTGAGTTACTATGGTGATATTAGAAGCACTCAAGTAGCTGGGAAAAGCTTCATTTAGAAAAAGTCTCACTTCCCCACCGATCTGGGCTCATCAGCGGTTTAAGCTCAAGTCTGGCAAAATAGAGTTCTGGTTTCTATCTGAGAATCCAGGACAAAGCTTAAGAAAGTTGCTGCCTGCCTACACAAAGATTCAGGCTAGATGGGCTAAGTGGCTGCAACAGGCTTTCTCTGATTTAGTGCGTTAATTGTATATAGATCGTCCTCAACTTATAACAGTTTGTTTAGTGACTGAAGTGACAACAGCATTGAAAAAAGTGACTTATGACCGTTTTTCACACAACTGTTATAGCATCCCCATGGTCCCGTGATCAAAATTCAAATGCTTGACAACGGGCTCATATGTACGATGGCTGCAGTGTCCCGGGGTCATGTGATCACCTTTCATGGCCTTCTGACAAACAAAGTCAATGGGGAAGCTAGATTTACTTAACAACCGTGTTACTAACTTAACAACGGTGACAAGAAAGGTTGTAAAATGGGGCAAAACTGACTTAACAACTGTCTTGTTTAGCAACTGAAATGTTGGATTCAATTGTGGTTGTCGAGTACTATCTGTATGTTAAAACTCTGTGGCTGTCTAGGCATAGATCTCCTGTATTTGCAGTATTTACTGTTTTTCCAGATCATTCTGGAAGAGAAATTTCCATCTGCCATTTGCTAGGTTTGTTTGTTGGGCTGTCTGCAAGAATGGCTATTCCCTTTATTCTCTCCCTTGTTAGAAAACTATCACTGTCCATGCAATGTTATGACCATTTCCTAACTAGGAAGATAAGACAGAGGAACAAAACTCATGTTGATACAAACATCTGCAGTCACTTTTTTGAGGGGGTGGGGAATAACATTGATGTCTGACTCAGTATTAATGTGGAAGCACTGTAAATTTTGAAATATGCCCTAATTTAAAACATGAGCTCCTAGGGGGCAGATTTTGGCTGAGTGCCATGAAAATTTTCTGCAGGACTGTATATTAATTATTTAAGAAAGACGGTGGGCTACTCTTCACTGGACGTATTTAATCAGAAGATAGAATTTGTAAGTGATGCTTTAATATGGATTCTTGCATTGAGTAGACTGGTTGGGCTTGATGATGTCAATGGATAAAAAGAGAAATTTGCCTTTAAAAAAAATAAAAATAAAAAAATAAACAATAAAACTATGTCTATTTTTCTTACCTAAGGTGATGGGATCTCAAACCTGGGATGCTACATTTACAATTCTGTGTTTTCTAGAGGTATGGTTTTGTATTATAATCTTGTTTAATTGTGGTGCTAGGAAGACTTAACATGATTTTAAAAAGACAGCTTTTCAAAGTTTCTGCCCATTAACATAATATGTAATATATCTCAATCTCATCTTCAAAGTTAGAAGTGTTTAAAGAGACCAACAGGATATTTGAAAGTTTCTGGTCTTAGGAGACAATGTCAAAAGGATAGACCATATTGCATTAATGGAAGGTTATTTTACCTCAGGAAGAGATACTCTGATGGCTTCCATCTATTTTGGACTTTCAGATTTTTGATCATTGATCAAGTGGATTGATTTTGTGAGGGTTGCAGTCTAAACAATATCTGGAGGCACCTGGTTGGGAGATACATACAGTGCAAATATTTGCAAGCTACCCTTGAATTGTCCCATTTCATGATAGTCAGACCACTTTCACATAATATCTAACGAACAGGAATCTTATTGATATAGAAATATTTCTGAGCATCATTTTCAGTAAATAGACCATTAATAAAGAAAAGTTCCATTCATGGTTGCTACTCACTTCTCTTATTATTGAAAAACATGCATTTCATTAAGTAGCTGTATAAAGTTTTGCTTTTTAAAAAGAAGCCTGGATTTTTTAAATTTTTTTTAAAAAAAAACATTTTTTATTAGTTTTCTATTTTACACCAACACAGCTTAAGAACCCACGTGGAAACATGGTGACCAATTTTTTAAAAAACAAACAATAACATAGTAAATATATACACAATATTTCTTAAAAATTTCCCTCTCTATCTATATAGAATATTATAATCAGATTAATACATTTTCAGATCAATTCATTCATTACTATGTCTAACCATCAACTGCATTAATCAATAAAAAAATTTAATCTATAAAAACCCATATTTCTTCACACATTTAAACTTAAGCTTAAAGAACTCTCCATTTATTTAAAAACATTATAATCAAGTCAATATCTTTCTAAAACCAATTCATTCACTAATATAACATTTCATCCATGTTATATAATTAAAAATAACCTAACATTCTCTATTTATATTGTTATAAGCTCATTAAAACATTTCTAAAACAGATTTTCATTGAATATATCACTTTATATAAATTTCATTAATCAATAAAAATTTACAAACTCATTATCCATCCCAAAGATCCTGTATCATGCTTTCTTAATTTTGCAAATATTTAATCTTAAACTAACATATTCATTTACTATTCAGGTGCCCCAAGTGTTTTTTTATTTAAGCATTATTAACGCCTAGAATTTTTTTTAACCTATTGACATT